CCAGATCTCTATGATTCGCAGAAGTTATGCGGAATCCTTGGCATTGGAAGGAAAGCCTATTAACATTGTGATCACTAAAGTTGGATGGAGTGGAAGAAGAGTTAACAACAAAATTGTATAAAGTTCCAGTGTACAATTCTGATGGGAAAAGAGTCCAAATAGTTCAAGCAGTTGGCATCGCACAGATTTCAGAAGACAGTCCCAATGGTAATATAAGCGAAGTCTCAAAAATCTTCGACATTCCTACTAGTATGCTGAAGCGCAAAGTTGGCCCGGTCGACCTTCTGATTGGAATTAATTACTCACAGTTCCATGCTGGTGAGACTAAAATTAAGAAGAATCTTGCCGTCAGAAAAAGTCCACTTGGTTGGGTGGTCTTTGGGACTGACTCAAAGGAAATGACTTTCCAAAACAATAACGTTTTGCATGTGCGTCTTGCCCCTCCAGTTGATTTGACAGATTTTTGGAAAACCGAATCAATGGGTGTTTCTCCCTCGTTATGCAATTGTCAAGAAGTTGAGATGTCTTTGAAAGAACAGCAAGAGTTAAAGTTGATAGAAGAATCCTGTGAGTTGGTTGGCAAGAAATGGATAATGAACTATCCTTGGAAGAAAGACCCTAGCCAATTGCCAAACAACTATTCGCAAGTCCTGAAGAAGCTGGAAAGTACAGAGCGTCGCTTGAGTAAACAGCCCAAACATGCCAAAGATTATGATACACAGATAAAAGAAATGGAAGATAGAAAGTTCTCGAGAAAGTTAACACAAGAGGAAGTCGCAGAATGGAAAAAGCCAGCCCATTATATCGCTCACCACGCCGTAGTTCGTGAAGAAAAGAAGTCTACGCCAGTGCGTATCGTTTTCAACAGTTCAGCGTCGTTCAAAGGACACTGTCTAAACGATTATTGGTACAAAGGTCCCGACCTACTGAATAACCTTTTCGGGGTAATACTGCGTTTCCGAGAGAATGCTGTTGCTGTTTGTGGTGATATTGCAAAGATGTATCATATGGTTGGCATCCCGCCAATTGATGAACATGTCCACCGCTTTCTTTGGAGGAGTTTCGAGACAGAGCGCGAGCCTGATACCTACGTTAAGACAGTTCTTACGTTTGGGGACCGTCCATCACCCACCATGGCCATCGTTGCAATGCGTAAAACTGCTGAGCTGAAAGAGGATGTCAAGCCGGAAGCTGCCAATTCAATCAAGAAAAATACCTACATGGATGACATATGTGACTCGCAGAACACCGTACAAGCAGCCAAAGAACTGACAAGAGATATTGATGAAGTACTTGATGCTGGCGGATTCCACGTCAAGGGATGGGTATCAAACGCAGTGTTGAATGATGAAGAGCAACAAGGAGAAGTCGTACTTGGTCAAGATCCGCTGAACGATACACAGAAAGTTCTTGGAACAGTTTGGAACCCTCAACAAGATAAGTTTTCATTCAAAGTTAAATTGGGACACACTGATGTTTCAGAATCGGATGAATCCCTACGCTCTACAGTTCCAGGAAAGTTAACAAAGCGTATCATTTTGAGCAAGATATCTGGAATCTTTGACCCGATTGGAAGAGTACCAACAGATCCGGATGATGGCGGATACCTATGTCCAAACGATATACTATTGGGCAGAGCTACGAACGCTGTGCCTCAAGGTCCGTTCCGAAAAACACAAAATCCTCGCCACCGATTCGAGTTTTGTCAGAGAATTATTGATGCTTTTTGGAAGAAGTGGTCAAGAGACGTCCTACCGCTATTAACCCCACGAAAAAAATGGAATACGCAAAGTCGTAATGTAACGGTGAACGATTATGTTGTAGTGTCCGAGCCAAACGCAGTAAGGGGAAAGTGGAACACCGGAAAGATCGTGGAAGTCTATCAGGGAGAGGACGGGTTGGTCAGGAATGTGAAGGTGAAAACTGCTACGGGAACCTACAGCCGACCTATCAACAAGATATGCGTAATTTATCCAGCAGAAGGCTACGAAGAGGAGTGAATGGGAGTTCTCCCATTGTCGGGGGGAGTGTTTCATTGACGATGAAAGGACTTCATGTAAGACTATTTTAATGTTTTAGTTAGTCGGAGTTTACTCGGACCTTAGTTGGAAGGGTTCGTAGGAAAAATGTGATGAGCTTGTAGAAATGTTTTGAACACGTTTTCGTATGGTTTTATGAAGTTTATAAAGTTTTAAGTAAGGTTTATTATTGTTAAATGTTAAGATAAAAGGAAAAGGATGCTTGCTTAGGACAGATGTAAGTAGAAAGCCTTAGTTAATTCATTTTTGTGATTTAGTACTAATTTAATATATGTAAACATACCGATTTAATTTCATTATTATTTAGTTTCAGATTGTTGTTATTTGTGAATAAATCTTAATACTGAAATCCCAAGCGTGTATTGTATGTTAGCTCCAAGTTATCGTCGGTCCACATATGTCACAAAACACAATATAAGCCTCAGAGTGATAGAACTATATGTCTTTGTTGTATTTTATTTTAGGGATATTTTGGTTTACGAAAATAGAATACCGATCGATTATTTTTAATATTTACGTAGGATTATGGATTATTCAGAACCCCCCTAACAGGGCCTCAATAGAAGCGTTCCGAAAAATGTTGACCAACTCATTTCCTAACTTGAAGGAACACCTCTTAACAATTCCTCAACAATTTGATAAGTTCCTTAAAAAGTTCCTAACTTCCTGTTTTATTGACCAATCAGATTGCTCAAAAATAAAATATAAAATTTGATTGGTCAATGAAACAGGAAGTTAGGAACTTTTTAAGGAAATTATCAAATTGTTGAGGAATTGTTCAGAGGTGTTCCTTCAACTCTTCAAGTTAGGAAATGAATTGGTCAACATTTTTCGGAACGCTTCGATTGGCACGACTGTAAAATAATTGAGAAACTCAATGTTATAAGCTATAACTGAGGATATGGCAAATGTTCATATATGGTGTATCAATAACAATAACTGATCAATTTAGTAAAACAAAAGCAATACCATGATATCAACTTATCAACGTGTAGACTTTCCCAAAGTCCTTTCCAGTTTTTTTTGGCGGTTCGTACTCGTAGTATGCTGGAAAGGACTTTTCTCACTTGCAGCGGGCATATGCTAAAACCTGGACGATGGACAATGGACGATGGATGATTTATATTTACAGCCAAAACACTAAACCCGCACACTTCCGCTCTTGTACTTTGTTGTCCTTTTTTGTATATTTCGTTGTGTATTACTGTAATAATTAACAATTATTGGATGAGGTTTTTGTGATATGCGGAATTATCAAGGTCGAGGTAAGCGTTATCAGCCGAGCCGAAGGCGAGGCTGATAACGCTTACCGAGACCTTGATAATTTTGCATATCGCAAAAACCGAATTCAATAATTGTTTTATTATACATTTGAAGAATAATAAACATAGTATTTTAGTATTTTAATTTTTTTGCGATATGCAAAATTATCAAGGTCTCGGTAAGCGTTGTATTCAATATGATTTCTGGCAAAGCTGTTCAAGTAAAACGTTTCTATAAACAAGTCTCCGGAAGTCCAACAGTTAAATTAATTACAAATTAAATATAGAAGAAACATATTATCGTTAAGATGTTAACATATTAAAATATTTACTTGTTAAAGTAAACATTACAATTATGAAATGTACATTCATATGAAAATTGAAATGTACACTCATTTGAAATGTACACTCATTCAACCTCACGCAACCTACACAAAACTAATTTGTGTAGGTTGCGTGATTGCGCGATTTAACTGTAAGCTCTTAGCCAATCAAATTGCTTTTACCAACTACAATGTATAATAATAATACTAATATTGCAATATTTGTAACAAAGAATTGCTTTTCCGTAAGTGATTCACTGCATACCATAACTCATAAGTAGCAAAATTTAACTTTTATTATTGATAACGCATAATTTTGTAGCCGCTAAAGTAATACAAAACAACTGTAGTTTATGATAACAAAATGATGACCTAGCTATTGCTTTATTACTAACTATCATTTATTGTTAATCATTAAATTTGCTGAAGCAGTATCCATTAATAAAAATTGCATTTTTCAAAATTAAAACAAATATCGCGTTCCCGCCAAAAATCGCGCGGGAATTTTTTGTGCTTAGTGCCAGGCTAGCCCGTCTCATGTGAAATAAATAACAACTTGGCCCGGGAAAGCGAGCTATCCCAGTTTAACGAGCCAGCCCGGCTCATAAGACTGACAGTTCTTTAATTAAATATAAATTATACAAATTACTTAATCAATGTGAATGTTACAATTCTCAACATTGCGCGCACTTTTATCGCGGCCTGTTGGGAGTCTGTTGATTATCGTAAATATTGCTCAAGTTAATTCAAATTTACTTCCACTCAGTGCGGATATTATACGTCCTATCATTGATTAACAATACTAAATGATAGTTAATAATAAAGCAATAGGTTATCACTTTGTTGTTTGTTTTTCTTTTAGAATTGGATCGAAAAGGTGGTTGCAAGTGTTCAGATCCTGGAATGCTGTGAAATGGAACATCAATTAGGGGTGGTGTGATTCAATGTGACTGATAGAATTGGAATGGTGTGGATAATGATGATTCTAGTGAATTATGTTATGATGATGCATGGACTGTTATGATGTACAGTGATGATACTGGTGATATATAAGTTGTAAAATGGTATAAGTGATACAAAAGTCTGAACATTCAAGCTAAAATGAGAAATGATGACTTTGTCAAGATCGCGCAGGCCCTGCGCAGGCATAACCCGGGTGCGTTTATGTGTGATGTATTGTGATATTGCCAAGACCTGGATGAATGCCAATGTATCGCCACCCAGGCCAAGTCCCATGTCTTTTGTGTTCAAAACTAAGGTTATGTTCTCATCAGGCTCCAAGCATAACCGGGAAAGCACGTTTCGACTCCGCTAGCTGGACTTGGAACTACGTGTTCGCATATTAATATTCATTTCTGTTCCCGTTTATATCAAAGACCATGTAAAGCAACCTCGTACCTAGGGTTTTATCTAGTAAAGTCCGTAATGTAAACAAACGCTTTGTTTACATTTTGAACTCAGTGCTACAGTTGTAAAATATGATTAGATATATATTTATATGTACTGAATTTTTAACACTCTTCTGGTTCGCTATGCTTGTAAATGAATACAGACTAGAGATTCATTCCAACGGTTGAGTCCCGACCATTGGAATGTAAGCCTGCGCAGAACGTATGCGCAGAACGGACTTTACATGGTCTTGAATTATACTAGTGTGTTTGCGCGAAAAAATCTGTTGATTATTTCGTCTAGGAACAGTGTGAAAATTGGTTGAATTTGGTATATGTGCTTTGTAATGGGTGAAAATGATAAGAATCGCATGCGTAATGTGTTGATTTTTGGTTAGGGAATGTAAAAAATGAAATTTACTTACTGATAGATGTCGACTGGTGGAGCGTACTTTGCGTGTAGGCAAGGCGAAAAGGAATTCTTAGCAGGCGAGGGGTTCTAAAATTACGTCGGGGGGATTACTTATGTCAAGCTTTGATCACTTGTGGGTTCAACGGTTCAACAGAGTGCTGAGGCATAGAATAAAGATCCATATAGAAGGGCCACTCAGCGGTGCAACATGTCCTCATTTTTTTATGCAAAAATATGCAGTTTACTGGCCAGAAGGCGGAGCAGCCAGCCAATACAGCGCGTTTATTGGCCAGAAAATGTCATTGACTGGCTAGGAAAATGGCGGCCAACATGCGTAATGCGACATGCGCGAGGACAGAAACTTCAAAGCTTCCGACGTAAGTGGCCCTTCTATATGGATCTTTATTCTATGGCTGAGGCATTCAAATTCTAACAATAAGTTATTTCAATTGTTATGGTTTATTTAGGGACACATCGGCTGTATTGCAGCCCAATGCAGGATTTAGATATCCCCAAAATCCTTCCAAGCAATTTTCAGAGTAATACACGCCAAACAGGGCCTTAGCTAGACTGATCATTTGGGGGGGGGGGGGTGTGCATATTCATTAAATCATATATTCGTGTGTTCTGCCCTACGGATTTATTTTGTTGATGGGTTTCATAGTGGTGACTCAGCGTGACTGTGGTGTATTTATCGGACTGCACGAGTGGGGGAATTAATTTGGAAATGTTTTTCAATTTTAGTAAATTTTGAACGTAAAGTTTAGTAAGTTTAGTGACAAACAACCTCGTCCCCAGGGTCTTCCTGGTGGTGGCGCGCGAGCTGAGGAAGACCCTGGTAAAATACGATGAAATCTCCAAGATTCTTGGAGATTTATCGCATGCGCAGTAACGACAACGTTATGTTGCTGACTACAATTAGCGCTGGCGCTTACGATTTTCTTGTTTAAAAATATACATGTTTTGTTGATTGTTTATGCATTTATTCTCAAAGTTTTAACAAATTTTACGAAAAATACTTCAGATATAAGCTGTGAACACACATGTACACAAAACTATGCAACATTCATCATCATATTGTATCAATTTGTCGGAGTATGGCGCTCATATTTGTGACATCGTTTTGTTCGCTCTGGCAACCCTCGTATATATCAGATGCTATTCGGCTTCAAATGCGACTGAATAAACACTGATAGTGTTGCTTGGAATATGAAATGATATTGATTGATTGTTCTGTATATCAAGGTACGTACTGTATATTTATACTGAATTTATTTTCACACGAGTTTCAAACTATTTCAGCCTTAATTAATGAACAGTGAGATCACATCACTAATATACAGTCATACAGAGACTCCATATTTTCTCATCAATTCTGATAATCGTTAGAAGTAACAGTAGAAATGCTTCAAAATTTATTCTGATTTCTATGTAAAGCAGGGCAGCATGCTTTTATTTTGCTTTGGTGGTAGTCACCACTCACCAAGTCAAATGGGCCATTCCATTTAATAGCCCCCCTATTGAGGTCTGGATATCCTATGGGGGAGAATTTTTCTAGAGGGTAGCTTAAGAGATTTCCTAAAAATTAGGTGTTTTAGTGATATCCAAAGGGGCAGGAACAATATCCTAAAGGGGTAGAAAGATATCCATGGGTGTTCCAAAAATGTATCCAATGAGGTTCCAAAATTTTTAAGGTATTATGAAGAGACCCCTCAATAGGGTGTGTGTGGGAGGGGCTATATTAGATGGAATGGCCCAGTGTTCTACAACAACTTTTAAAATTTGTATATTTGTTTTTAAGGCACAATATGTAATGGAGTTTGATATGATGAT